TTGCATCCTTCAGTCAGTCTCAAGTCCAGCTTCCAAACTATGCAATATCCATTCAGCAATTATCAACCTTTCAGAAAATATATAAAGCATGGACCTGAATTTGTGCAGCCACTTGAGAGCTTACAACTCAGAGGAATGCCAGATTAACCTAAGAATCATGTTCTGTCCATCTACATCCCCTGGCCAAATTCAGATGAAAAAACAGCCTTCAATTTCTTCTGCAGGCAATGAAATGGCTGTTGCTTCACACTCTGTTTCAGCAAGGACTGTAAAGACAGCTCAACCCAGAGTGGTAAATTCAACTTCTTTCTCTGGCCTTCAGAGTAGGAAGCATGGCTTATCCTGAGTCCACACAGCTAAACTTTCAGCCTCCCAGCGTAGGGATGGCTTCTGTTATACTGCTTGTTGAGGCACAGGTCAAAGCTGTATCAGGGGTTGTCAACAATTAAACAGTGCCTGTGGGCCACTGCTTGAGCTCATGACATGGTCCTGTGTAATCTGCTTGTACAGACACAGCCTTTGAGTTCTAGGGGAGCAGCAAAACCAGTCATGACTTGAAGGATTCTTTGCATCGCTGCATTTTCTAGGGGTCTGGCTATATTCCTCCCTGACCAAACTCCACTTTCAGCAGCAGGTCTTGTTCTCAAACTGAGTAAGGATGAAAAGGGCTTGTACTGCCAAGTGCCTTACACCAGCACACTTTCACAGATTCTGTGGGAGAGAACCGGGGAATGAGCAGAGCCAGTACTCTACGCTTTCTCTGTCAATTAATTGGACACTGAAGTTTGAAACGTGCCATGCTAACATTTTTTGTTATCAGCCTATTTTCTCTCTTTGTTCCACATAAAAACACTTTCCTATGTGTTTCTTGGTCACGTCACAGTTTGACTGACACACTGGAAGATTAACAGTAACACTTGCAGTCACACTGATTCCAAAAGTCCCGTCTTCTTTAACAAGCTCCACAGTATAGATTTCCTTTGAGTTGTTTTCAGATGGAGATGGTAAGTACGAAGAATCAGCTTCCTGTCTCAAAAATATAAACACTAATGACACAACAGCATCTCAATTAAAAAAAAGGGGGGGGGGGAGATAAAAAAAGAGAGTTTCCAGAATATATAAAGGGTTTGATCCTGCTGTCGCTGTAAGCCTGGAGTAGTACCATTTATATCACTGACATTATTTCAAGCATTTTAATCTGTCTAAATGTGCATAAGCTGAGTATAGGTAGGGAGGCTGTCTAATAGTAGGAAATTAGACACAAAATGTTATTGTTCTGTGTCTGGTTTAAAACTTAAGAGATTGCAAGATAATAATCAAAATTTTGTACCTCCACTGGAAAAGGGAGGAGAATTTTTAACATTTTGTGGAATGTTTTTCCCATTTTTTCACATATTCTAAACATGTCTATGATTTTGATATTTTGATATTTCTAATGTAATTTAACAAGCAACAGCTTCCAAGGTTTTCTTTCTCCTTTCCTCATTTTTTAAAATTTTTCAGTCACTTTCCATTCTTAATATAGGTGGCTTGTTTTTAAGACACATGGCTGGGCATAATACTAGTGAACAGCATCAAAATCTCAGTTACCTCCACATCCAGGCTATCAGCTGAAGGAACTGGAATCCTAGGGCCCAATTTTGGTGCTAAACTCCAGGAAAGAGCCTTCTCAAGTTCATCTATATTTATGTCCTGTTCTTTGGGGAGAGCTGCATGACAGTCCTGAATCTTTTTTCTCCCACTGTCTACACAAGAGATCTCAGATCCACTAGTGCTGTTTCCTCTTGACAAATTCTTTTCTTCATTTAATCCATCTTCATACATGTCTGTAAAGCCTTATCAAAATAAAACATTGCTGAATGCAAACAGTAAGTAAACTAGAAGGCAAACGTTATTGTAACTCAGCACAGGAGGACAAAGTACTTCCTACATCAACTGGTTGTGAAATCAGATCTATAAATGAGTCAGGCATTATAAAATGGAGTGCTGCTATTATAAGTGTGGAGAAATGTATTTTCTTTATCACTGCAGAAGACTATGACTCTCTATTAGAGAAAGAAATGTCAAAATTCCGTTGGTATTCAGCAATGCAGTCCATAATAGATTCACTTTAACTGTAGAACAGAGATCACATGATACCTCGTATTTGACTATTTTCACTGCTAGCCTATGGCTATTATAACTGACACTGAGTAGCAAGAAAGTGCTACTACATCCCAGTGCCTAATAAATACTAGTGTCCTGAATTAACTGTTAGCATTCCATAGCCAGCAGAGGCATTTGCCTTTATACCTCTGGGTTGAGAGATGATAAGCTCCACTTCATCAGGAGAATTCTGTATGATTTTAACTGCAGTATTAAATGAAACGCCCTCGAGACTAATATTATTCACAGAGATGAGTCGTCCTCCTTAAAAAAAAAAAACAAAACAGGACAAAGAACATATAAATAAGGAAATAAATCCAGACTAGCTAACTTTAAACCATTAAAGTATTTTAATTCTAGTTAAAAGCTAAGGACAATGACCTGGTTTGATATTTCCAGCTCTGTCTGCAGGTCCCCCAGGGACAATTGAAGCGATAAAGATGCCGAGGTCTAATTTTCCTACATTTTCTCCTCCAATAATTACAAAACCTGCAAAAATGAGATAGCATGAGAATGCAGAGACGCTGGCAGTATTAGAAGAGATGAACCTTAGGAGCACAAAAGGCTCTTACTCCAATGGTGTAAGTTTTATCCATGATCTGGAGAATGGAGAGCTCTGATTTACATGGCTTCAAGGTCTTGATTTGGGAAAGCTTTAAACTCACGTTGTAATTAAAGTGAGCTGGTGACTTTGGTGTCTATTTAAGTATAATTTCTCAATAAGAATACTTTCCCGGCTTGGGACTTTTAAATTTTCCAACTACTTTCTCACAAGAGTCGTAAACTATGTGGACCTTAGTATTTAACACCTGCAGGAGGAAAATGGTATAAAAGCCTATTAGATAAATTCGAACATTGTTCTACATCATTTAGTCTAGGGCCCCTGAAGTGGGCCATGTAAACTTCTAATGGGTATGTAAGAGATATCTAAGAAAATTAAATCTATTGTCAAGTAATTCAATTTCACTATCCTAGCTTAAAATATTCTGCCTATTGCAGAATATGTTCTTCTCACTGGTAAATAGTTGGGTTTAGGATCAGAATATTCCACACAGACCTGCACTATTTAGAAACACGATGTTTAATTGTGTTAATGGTCAGCTGTGAAAAGTGATGGTCCTTTGAATGCATCCACAAGAACAGGATACAATGCAATAGTGTATTATGTTGTTATCCAGATAAGAATCCAAAAGTCGGAAAACATTCAAGTTAAGCTTGTGTACACATTTTGCACCCTGTCAGGCAATACTTGACAGGTTTGCAGAACATCACCTCCCCCTGTCTAAGATGAGTAAAATCACTGCACATGTATATCAGATACAAAACTAGACCCTTGTTCCTTTAATTCTACTCTTAGCACTTGGTCCGCTTGAACTATGTGGCCTTAGTTAATCCTCTGAAAAAATTATGGTCTTGGTTTACGCACTTTGTCCTTTTCAGTCTCAGAAGTTCTAAGTTCTTCACAAAGATTGGTAGTCTTCTATAAGAAGAATAAATGAGGTGAAGAAGGTTACAGTCTTGCTCAGCTTGAGTTGGCCAAGGTATCAGTGTTAGCATCAGGATCTGGCAGTCCCAGTAACAAACATAACACACGTTCCTTACCAAATCCATTCTTTGAATCACGTTTTAGGTTGACACAAATGATTTCTCTTTCTAGACCACTTAACAAAACTTCTTTTTGGATGGCTGGTGATCCAGGAGCTGCAGAAACAAAACAGCTAGAATAAATGCAGATTAATGCAGGGAGACAGTAGATTCATACAGTATGCAAAACTGGGGCTTCAAAAATTTAAAATATATTTTGTCCTTGTTTTCAACATTACCATTATTTCTGAATCAATATAATTCAGGAAGGAAGATCAAATAAGTATTTTGAAGTTTGCGTTCTTTAGAAAAGTATATGTACAATAGCTGTGTAAGCTCTTCCTATAACATTCCTTTCTGGGAGAGTATGCACGTATCTGCAACGTTTTTATTAAGATTAGGGTATCTGAAGAGTCAAGCATGTAGTGCTGATTGAACTTGAGGGTGATTTAGTCACAAAAACTACTATGGGTTCCTTTTGAAACTCTAGCCTTTGGCCGTGTGGGCCCTTTTGGCTCTGTAGGTGCAATCCAATCAGCACCAATTGTGATGGTGACTTATGTAGTGTTCATGCTACTTTACACTGTGCAATTGTCACAGTGTGTTTAAAGTACAGTTTTAATTTTAAAATGGACTAACCAAATAATCATAACTTCATATTTCATAGATCTGCTCATGGTGTGCATGCAATATGGCTTCTGTTAGAAAATTAGGTGCCCAGTTCTTATTCCAGTTAGTGTTGTGCAAATGCAAGAAGAGAGGAAGGACCTGGAGCCTGTGCTGTCTCGTGCGTTATTTATTAGGTTGTAGATCTCAATTGCAAACCAAATAGTGACCCGTGAGTAGAGGGATATTGCCCCATGTGAGAGTCCTTGGTGTACTGAACTACATCTCTGAAGAGCATTAGGCACCACTGACAGAATAATTTTATCCTGAAGTCCCTTACCACTGATCCTGATGGAAAGCAGGAGTGAAAAGGGAGAAAACAGCTTGTCTTGCTAAATTCTGGGTTAATTCCCAGGACTAGAACTGCAAAAGGATATTCTTTAATCTATAAGTAGAAGATATTTTGGTCTCCTGCTACTGAAACAATAAATATGCAAAGGTACTCTCTCTCTTTATGATTATTATACTCACCACTGATTGTGTTCTGAGTTGCATGGATAGAGAGGTAGTCGTAACTCCTTTGCTTTCCATTCAAATTGATGTGCATTTCTGACTGGGATAGCCCTGACGTGGATCTGCATGGCAGGAAATGAAGACTGCATTACAATAACAAATCAGCTATGGTATTTAGCACTCCTCATTGTCATTAGTCTGTCAGAGCCAAGTTGGGAATGCACATGTTTCTAACCTTTCAAGGAGTATTCTGATTTCTGGGCCACATTTCATTGTAGGGGAGAGGCAGTTTATCCTTGCCAGTATTTGCTTCCAATTACCAGCTGCCATCAGACCACTCACATCACGACTGATTTCCCCCTGTGTTTTTCTCTGAGCTGAGTGCAGGCATTAGGAAAACACAGCATAGGCTCAGGATGATTCATTTATCCCTGTTATCCCTTTAGACAAAACCACGTCGGAAAGCTTTCCTGGTAGTTCATGTTCTTCTTGGCTCTAGTCTCTCGGTATTCATCAAAGGCCTTGAGACTATGTGCAGCTATAGTAACCACCTACACTGGTGAATGTACTAATGCAAATGAAAAGGGAGAAGTTCTTACACTGTTATCTATGATTTGCACCTTTAGACATGGGAGGAATCAGCTAGGTAAGACCTGCTCAAAAACAGCTTCCACTGTGTATTCAGTTCACGTACTGCCATTTCCAGAGAAGGTACATAGACATTAAAGATTTTACTTTCATTCTCCGTTATTTTTGTCCTTCTCCACAACTCAATACGTGGTTCATTCCTGAGTCTGGTACAAATTTAAATGTCACTTCTTTTCAAATTCTTATCTGTTAGACTGTTAGCTTCCTGCCTGTGTTTGTACTACTGCTGGCACCATGGAGCCGCAGGCCTTTTGGTGTGACCACAATAAAGACTGCAAAAATAAAGTCTGCCTCACAGTTTACCACAGAGGTTTGCAATGATATAGTCTATGGCTGCGTATTCTTACACACGTTTAGAGGAAAAAGCAAAAATACCTGTCAAGATTGGTTTTGTTTCTAGTCCTGCTATTAGTTTCCACACTGAGGTTATCACAAGATTTGCTCATCATCCCAGCAGAAAGGTTTTCCAGGTTTGCTCCGTAGAGCACATTCTCTGAACGAGACAGTCTCTGAATCAGGGAAAGGTGTTCACTCTGAGCTGCATATGCAGAATTTGATTTGTCTATTTCCACAAATTTACTTTCCTCTGAATAAGAAGAGAGAGAGGGCGAGGAAGGAAAGATAAATTCACTGATATTATTCCATTTTTTTATGCTCAAAGGTGCATTCTGTCTAACCTTTTGAACGTGCCAGCAAAAAAAGATTCACATCACAGATATATTTTTCTGGTATCCTTGAGGATATCTACGCCTTGGAGTGAGTGGAAAGGGTTTCTAATCTATTTCTTTCATAGAAAGTGTATGCTGTATTTAGATTTCATCTCTATGAATTATACTGCAAATTCACATTCTACAAAGACAGATGAAATGTACAACCCTGCATAATTTAAACCTGAATTTCTTGTACAGGATATTCTGTGAACTTGTGGTATATGAGAAATATCTGTCTGTCAGAGACTGAATTAGCCAGGTTGGCAGTTTCCCATCCTTCATGGGCCCACCACTCCAATAGAAGTATATCTGAGAAGACAGGAGCTCTGCTAACACATGCTCTCTTAAGTTCAGAGGCGGGCCAAGGAGCTGGCTGTTTGCTCTGAGTGATTGCACAAGTGAAGTTGAGTAGGTGACCATTTTGATAGCAATGCTTACTATCCAATTTTCCATCTCTGTGTGAAATCTACTACTTGCTTAATGACATCTGGGCTCTGCTAAACAAATCTGTGCTCTCAGAAGATTTTATTTCCCTGAAACAAGATGGAGGAGGCATTGTTAATTTATTTTGGTTCTCAACTGCTAGGCTGAATAGGGGATTTGAAGGGCAGAGGGACAGCAGGCAATTGGAGGCACGTCAGAAAGTAAAAGAACCCTGCTTGGTACAGGCTAGCACAGATGTGGGCTTTAATTCAGCTTTGTACATTACAGCTGACCAACCATCTGTTTTTTAATAGAAGTTATTAGCCTGAATGCAACTTTCTAGAACACTACTCTGCAGCATTAAACCTAGGCTCCCTCTTTCCTCAGTGACTTTGATCAGGGGCATTTGTTAAGGCGTCAAAAGGCTTAACTGTCCACAGTATTAGCGCAGTCTGAGAGTTGCCATGGTGATTTCAAAGTAGGCGGTTGCTAGCAAGTTTTGAAGAGATGGTGACTTCTACATCAGCAGAAGTAAGAGTTTTCCTCACATTCTCACTGTGGTGGCAAAGGCAGCATCTTGAACGACGGTCTGTCATTGCCCTCACAAAGCCTTTTTTTCTGGGACAACAAGCACACACGGAAGCTCAGAACCTGCAGTCACACTGCTTGTGTCAGTCTGGCTTGTTTCAGTGATTTGAGGTGCTTGTAACCAGGACTTGGGTTATAATTTTTTTAGCTCTCAATCTTTTTGTTCTCTTACATACGGAATGTAGCAATTTTTATTAAGATATATCACCACATGCAAATGTGACACAGCAAACTGTAAGGTTCACTGTTAGTGCTCATTTGTATGCTACAAATCATAGCCCCACTAAGGTACCACTCACTACCCCCTCTTGGTAATGCAGGTTGGCGGGGACGAGATAGCAGAAAGAAGTCCCAAGGCCATCAAAAGGGACTTCAGGGCACTGGGGCGACTGGTTGAGGGATCAGGGCCGCAGGTGGTGTTTTCCTCCATCTCATCAGTGGCAGGGGACAGCACTGAAAGGGGCAGGAAAACTCACCTGGTTAACAGGTGGCTCAGGGACTGGTGCCATCGGTCAAATTTTGGCTTCTTTGATCATGGGGAGGTGTACACAGCACCGGGCCTGCTGGCAACAAGTGGAGTTCAGCTATCTCAAAGGGGGAAAAGAATTCTTGGCCACGAGCTGGCGGGGCTCATTGAGAGGGCTTTAAACTAGGTTCGAAGGGGGAAGGGGATATTGCCCAGCTCACTAGGGATGAGCCTAGACTTGGAGTGCCAAGGCCAGGGGTGAGATTGACAACCCAGCTCAAGTGTGTTTACACCAATGCACGTAGCATGGGCAATAAAC